CCAACATTGAAGCAGCATCTACCGACCTCCCAATCAATGTTGGCCCACCAACAATTGGAGAGATCAGTATGGCTATCAGACAAATGAAGAGCGGCAACGCAGCAGGACCAGACAACAGTCCAGCAGAGGCAGTGAAAACAGACTTTGAAGTAACTGAAAAGATACTCCACATTCGGGAAGAAGATCAAGTACTAACAGAATAGAGAGAAGTATACCTGATCAAAATACCAAAGAAAGGCGATCTCAGAAAGTGTGAGAACTACAGAGGCATCACTCTTCTCTCTATACCAGATAAAGTATTCAACAGGGTATTGTTAAATAGAATGAAGGATTTCATAGACGCCAAACTTTGAGATCAACAGACTGGACATAGTAAGGATCGCCCGTGTACTGACCAGATTGCAATATTACAGATCATTGTGGAACGATCAGTTTAATGGAACTCACCACTCTACATTAATTTCATTGACTACGAGAAAGCATTTGATGGCGTGAACAGGACAACACTATGGAGTTTTCTTCGACACTACGGCGTGCCTGAGAAGATAGTCAAAATCATACGGAGTTCTTATGATGGATTCAACTGCAAAATTGTGCATGGGGGACGGCTGGTAGACTCGTTTGAGGTGAATGCCGGTATCAGTCAAGATTGCTTAGTCACATCCTTTCTCACTCTCCTGGTGATCGACTGGATTATAAAGACGTCAACATCTGGAGGGAAGCCCGGTATACATTGGACAGCCAAGATGCAGCTGGCTCTTCTGTCGCACACACAACAACTAATGCAAGAGAAAACAACCAGTGTAGCGGCAGCAGGTCTCAACATACATAACGGGAAAAGCCAGATTCTCCGCTACAACACAACATGCACCAACCAAATCACACTTTATGGAGATGCCTTATAGGACGTTAAAACCCTTATATATCTGGGAAGCATCATTGACGAGCAAGGTGGCTCTGATGCAGATATGAAGGCGCGGATTAGCAAAGCAAGGACTGCATTTCTACAAATGAACAACATCTGGAACTCAAAACAACTACCAACAAACTCCAAGTCAGATTTTTCAATACAAACGTCCAAATCGTCCTATTTTTTGATGCGGTAACTCGGAGAACTACCAAATCCATTATGCAGAGGATACAAGTATTTATTAACAGTTATCTACGCAAAATACTTCGGATTCGCTGGCCAGACATCATCAGCAACAACCTACTGTGAGAGAAAACAAATCAGCTTCCAGCAGAAGAAATTCGGAAAAAGCGCTGAAAGTGGATAAGACACACATTGCGTAAAGCATCCAACTGCATTACAAGACAAGCCCTCACTTGGAATCCTCAGGGACAATGGAGAAGAGAAAGGCCAAGGAACACATCATGCCGACAAATAGTTACAGACATGAGAAGAATGAATGAGAATTGGACGGAACTAGAAAAGGAGACTTAAGATTGAGTAGGTTGGAGAGTAATGGTCGGTGGCCTATGTTCCATTGGGGGTGACAAGCGTAGGTAAAGTAAGTTATCTAATGATTTTCGAAAGTAGAACATCATTTCGCGATTTTTTCTTGGTTCCGAAACCGTATCATCTAAAACTTTATTCGAGATACTTGCTCTGATTGTCAAGTTCTGTTTGATAAATTGGTTCAAAACGCTTCCTTATATTACGTACATTACGTGAATAGTATAACCTGCAATAGACATATAAAAAATTTAAGACTTATTTGCGTAACAAGATGAAAGTAAAATCTAAAACAGTTCCCACTGACTTACTGCATTATGGATCTATAAACATAAAACCAAAACAATGAAACATTTTAGAGATTAACTGAAGATTCCATAAGCCGAATCAAATAGATTAAGATGCCTAAGAGGACAGACAGATACAACGTAGAACTTCGTAAGTAAGCACATCAGTTCAGGTTGCCATGCCCCATCAGCACAGAGAAACAACTGTCAGTTCAAATCCAAGAGTGATAGCGATAATAGAAGTATTAGCTGTAATAGAGAAGATTAAGGAGAGAAGATATAATTCGAGAAATATAATTCTGTAAGATGATTTTAGAAGGAGAAAGGTAGAGATTATGAGGATTGCAGAAGCTTAGAATTTCATAGGACACAAAGAGTGGATGCACCTGCGCCACTGCAAACAATTGTGAGCCATGTCGTTCAAGGTCGCTAACCATCGATGACAATCGTCTCGCGGACCCCAACCAGGTAGCCTACATCTACCAAAATGACTCAGTCTACTTGTCAGTGACTTCATGGGTTTCTGCCATGTTTTGGTTTGGCCGCCCCTAGCTTTCTTCCAGTCAACTCCTACACTGCAAAACAAAGCTCGACGAGGCAGTCGGTGTTTGGGCATACGCAACACATGTCCCAACCACCTCAACTGATGAAGTGTCACTACTGCGTCTATTGATTTGCCGTCCCTACCTATAACTCATTTCTTAACGACAGCATTGCTTATACAGTTGTCCCATGATACACGGGCAATGCTTCGGAGAAATCGATGATCGAAGACTAGTAACCCACGAAAGTCCTCTACTCATAACGGCCATGTTTCGCATCCGTATAGTAGGACGGAGCGAACTGCTGCACAGTACACTCGTCCTTTAGTCAGAAAATGGACATATCGCCTGCGCCATAGGTGACGCAAGTTGGCAAAAGACAATCGAGCTTTCTGTATCCGCGCTGAGATTTCGTCAGTCACCAGGCCATCAGTCAGTCAGTCAGTTGCAACGTAGAACTTCGTACGTAAGTACATCAGTTCATGTCGCCATACCACATCGGCACAGAGATGTAATTGTCAATTCAAATCCAATAGTAGTAGATGTAGTAAAGGTAGTAGCAGTAGTCGGAGAGGTTAGGATTAGAAGATATTATTCAAGAAGTGTGATTAAATAAGAAAAGTTTAGAAAGTCAAAACTAGAGGTGTTGAAGAATACAGAAGATTAGGATTTGAGAGAACACAAGGAATAAATGCACCGGCGCCATTGCGAATGATTTTGAGCCATGTCATTCAAGGTCTCTAACCATCGATTATTATCATCTCGCGGACCCCAACCAGGTAGCCTACATCTACCAAAATGACTCAGTCTACTTGTCAGTGACTTCATGAATTTCTGACATGTTTTGGTTTGGCCGCCCCTAGCTTTCTTCCAGTCAACTCCTACACTGCAAAACAAAGCTCGACGAGGCAGTCGGTGTTTGGGCATACGCAGCACATGTCCCAACCACCTCAACTGATGAAGTTTCAATGCTTCATCTATTAATCTGCCATTCTTACCTAGCACCCGTTTCCTAATAACAGCGTTGCTCACTCAGGTATCCCACGATATACGAGCAATACTTCGAAGACACCTTTGATCGGAAACCAGTAACCTACGAATATCTTCTACTCTCACTGGCCATGTTTCACAGCCATAAAGTAAGACGGAGAGAACCACTGCGCAGTACACTCGTCCTTTAGTCAGCAAACGGATATCTCGCCTACGCCATAAGTGACGCAGGTTGGCAAAAGCCAATCGAGCCTTCTGTATCCGTGCTGAGATTTGGTCAGTCACCAGGCCATCGACAATGATGAGACTCCCAAGATAAGTGAAGCGGTCTACACGTTCGACTACTTCACTCCCTATCACTAGTTCAGGTGCCGATGAAACCCAATCTTGAAGCAACATTTTGCATATCGAGGGGGAAAACCGCATCCCGAACATGATTGCATTGTTGCTTAGGGTAGTCAGAAGACTCTGCATTTTGTCAGCTTCTTCACCATGTAGGACTATGTCATCGGCATATTCTAAGTCAATAAGCGAGCCAGCAGGTAGAAGGTCTACTCCTGAAAATTCAGACGAGGATAAGGTTATTTCTAGGAGCATCTCTATGATAAAATTAAACAAGAATGGAGAGAGTGGACATCCCTGACGCACACCACTTGAAGTAAACAATTCCATTGACAGTTAGCCATAAGCTCTCACTCGACCAGTGGTGTTCGAGTGGAGAGCTTGTATAAGGTTAATGTACTTATTTGGTACACCTTCAATGACAGACACTGTCACAGAACCTCACGATCCACAGAGTCAAATGCCGCCCTAAGGTCCATGAAAACAACTATTGTATGACACCTAAATGAGTGTTTATGTTCCAGGACCTGTCGCAGTGTGAAGATGTGGTCTATACAACCACGTCCAGGTCGAAAACCAGACTGGTTTCCCCTAGTCTGATCTTCACGAGCACTAGTAAGGCGTCTAAGTATAGTCGAGGCTAACAATTTAGAAACTATATTAGTTGGACTTATTCCTCTGTGAGTGTCACAAGAAGTCTTTTGTCCTTTCTTATAAATTGGGACAATCAGTGATTGAGACCAGTCGGATGGGATTGTGTCGAGTTCCCATATTCTACCTAAGATCTCAGTCAACCTAGCTGATGAAACTGGACCACTATCCTCGAAAATCTCAGAGGTCAATCTATCGAGACCCGCTTCTTCTCCTCGCTTCAGATTTCCTATAGCCTTTTCAACTTGTAAAGGTTCGGAGGGCTTACGTCGTTCTGCATCATGTTCAGAGCCAGGTGGGATGAGTTTTCGGGCATCCATCAGATCGGTGGATGCTACAGAGATCCACGGCTTCATTCTAGCCTTATGGTTAACCTTACTGGCAGATATCACTGCTGTTTCCACAGCCTTTTTGATATCATTCTAACCTGACTCCGGATGGGAATCACTTGCATGGTCGCCTAACTGTGTTTCTAGTTGTTCCTGAAATATATACTTCGCCTTATTATCATTAAGTAAAACCCTAAGAGGCTTTCTTACGGTGTCTTTCCTACGCCCAGTAAGCCTAAAAAACTGAAAACGAGATATCTGAAGACGTACTGGAAATCATCTGCAAGACTGATTGGTGCAAATTAGTGAACTGTTAATTAATTCAATTAAAATTAAAACAATCTGATTTGGAATGGAAAATCACTTTTATGTATTGTATTTTTTTGTCATATATATTAAACAGATAATCAGTTACGAAGACTAACCAGTCAAAATGATGGATCATGTTATTTAAATGATTACAGTGTACCAAAACTACATACTCTTGGATTATCATATAATTTAATTGAAGCAGAAGATAATACAACAAATAATTCTAATGTCAATATACCAACAATTGGATTAGAATTAAAGAATCTTAAAGCCTTATATCTTGGTTATAACAAATTAATTAGTTTTGGAAATTATAAATTAAGTGGAGAAAATGTACAAAAATCATCCAATGAATTACTAGATGTTATTGATAATAAAATAGAGCAAGACTATAATTATAATTCACTAATTGGTCACCTGCCAAGTTTATCTGTTTTACACATACGAAGTACTGAATTACTCAATCTGGATGGAATAACACCTGAATGTTTACCAAGATTAGAGTATTTGAATGTTAGGTAAGCCAATTAAAATGTACTACTATATGAAGGAGCATGGAAAAATGACATAAAACAAGTGTAAAATATTGACTATAGATGAATAATCGAATCTGAATTCGTGTGCTTGGTTTTCAGTAGCAGATTTTGTGTTTGAACAGTAGGAAGTTGTGAAAACTAAAACAGGTTGAATAGGGTTCCAGTTTGGATATGAGTGTCAGTTGAATTTCGTATCGGAAAGTGTATCACAATAATCACATGTATGATAGTGTTTGAAGTGATAAATGCTAGTACTTCGGACAAAAGGCTATAGACCAAATATTATTGATTATTGATACTAAAATCAAGATCATCTATGAAAATTTTATAATTCATTTGATTGCTAATGCAAATTGATACAGCGGGTCAAACAGGAATCGCTAAATAATAAGTGCAAGTTGCTTATTGTGCAATGGATTTCATTTCCAAGGGATAATACATGAATCACCAATAGGTTTAATTTCAAAACGAACAAATATACATGTAAATGCTGGTACAATGGATTCGGTTTAGTCTAGTAAACTTTCTTGCTCACTCTATCTTTTCTCTTCTATTGCCCGGCTCGTGTAATGAAGGTATGCATCAGTATCAACTATGCAATACCTTGAGTTACAACAACATGATTCATTTCTTAACTTATTAAAACATTGCACAAATTTAGATTGAAAAATATTGCCACAGACTATAACGGATATCTTCTGTACCCTGTTATAGTAAAATAGCTTCTGAGACGTACTTGAATCAGCTTAATATATGAAGTAACATTGCTTAATTTAGGAACTTGATATTCACTATATATTATGAGTCTTGGACTAAAAACAGTTAGTCGTTCATATTCACCAGTGTTCATGAAGTAAACTTTCATGATCAAACATGCAGTAATGCCGCATTACAAAGGTTGGATACGGCGGACAAATAAACTAAGCATTTTTAATCGGATTAGAATTGTTCTTCAGATCAGTATCATTTTTTGGATTCTTAACTATTCCACAACAAGGTTTTTTGTCATCAAAGCTATACTGCGTAAAGTAACTGATAAAGTAAAATTGTCACGTAATTTTTTTAAAGACTATATGCATGCTTATTAATTTAAACATCTGTGTTAGCCTGAATAAACGTACTCGCTCAGAAAATCATATAATTTTGCGCACTGTCCAAGTATTTTTATCAATTCAAAACTTCCTCACTATTACAGACGCAATTGTTACTACTAGATTCAAAATCACATCTTAAAAAATATTGAGTATCTCGCCTTAAAAACCTTACTCGTGCTAGAACAACGAGACTGTTTTATTTATTTCACAGAGAAAATCGAATTGGCAGCTTAGAAGAAATAAAAAAGCTAACTAGCTTCAAGTGTTTACGCACAATAATTTTAACAGGTAAATATGAATAATATCTTCTCTTAATAAGCATTATTAAACTATAGATCTAACATTTTTCGAATTCTAAAAATTAGGAACTATACTTGTGATACGCCTCCTTATCTATTTCTAACTATTAAGTGTATATTCTTTTTAACTATAAAAGTATGATATCATGGTTCCAAATAAATTGAGTCTTAAATCCCGTCCGTGAAATAAACAAGTTTATTGTTTCGTTTCGCAGTTTAAGCATCGCGACCCACATGTTAAATGTAGAGTTCAACGGCTTTTACGTATCATTGGTTTCATACACAGACTCTCGACCTTAACTGCCACCATGATGCGGTGATCGAGCTTGCCCATCGTGATGACCCAACTGAGTTATGTTGGATCGAACATATGTTCCTGTAGGTTCTATTATGGCAGGCAGGTCGATTGGAGAACAGCAAGACTAAAAAGAGCAACTCAAGGTCTGATGGCGAGGACGTACTGATGACTGTAGAGAAGTGTGACAGCAGTAAAATGTTGCCCTCGGAAAACCAGGATCTGCAGCGATGCTGCCTTCTCAAAACAGAAGGAAGAGATTGAAAATCGTCAACCCTAACGATGTAACGGCTCACTTTACCCTACGGATTTCCGTCTCCGAACACTTGGAGAGCAAAGCTAACACGAGAGCTTCCTTTGAGGAGGCCGTGCGCGACTTGCTTCAAGCAGTTGTCCCTTGGGCTCTGTTGTCACGCTCCGAAGTCGCTGAATCGAACACTGATCCAATTCTCTTTTCCGGCCACTCAAGAAACACCGTTTCAAGATGTGGATATGCCCGAAGTGTTTAAACCTTGAGCGTCGCTAATGCAAAAGATTGGAGTTCACGAAACTTTATGGCTGGTCTCCTGAAACTACACATCAAATTATATGTTGGAGCTCTGAATGTTTAGACCTCGAGCCAAATAGGTCAAAAGGCTGTCTTAGCCAAGACTTTGAAATCTTGTGCCATCGAAGTATGCTACGTCTCCGAAACGCGCATACAGGATCTGAGTAGCGTCATTCATGTGACCCCACCATGTCAAAGTAAAGAAACCTCACGACTCCCGCTTCATGTATCTACAAGTCCCACTTTTACTTCCTGTGGGCTCGCTGGTGTAGGTGTTCTAGGGCAGCTCGCTTACATCATGTCCCAGTAGATAGTCCCTTATGCGCTGTATCCGACTAAACGGGACAGTAAAGGCTCGTAAAGATAGAAATACTCGCCATTGCTCCTGCCGACGCTCCCACTGACTGCAGATCAGACGAGGTAAAAGATGAGTTTTACATGAACCTCTCAGACTTTCTCCAAAAACTTAGAGGCTCTGATGAAATAATAGTGGCTGGTGACTTCAATGCTCAAGTAGGTGGACTAAGCGAGAAGGAAAGACATCTTGGTGGATCTTAGGTTGTCGTGGGTGAAAGACCAGATAATCGCGACCTTCTGTCGCAGTTGCGCTCGGATAACCGCTGATTTCTAGCAAATACAAACTTCAAGCACAAGGGAACACATCAGTTGACATGGCGACCTCCTAATTAGTCACAACGCTGGACCCAACTAGATCAAATCGCTATCAACCACCGATAGAGAAGCTCGATAGAAGACTCGCTCGTACCGGAGCACATGCTAAGATTAGGCTCTAGTGTGAGCGCGTAATTGTATGCGTCTTACTGGGTGTAAGAAAAACCGCAAGATAACCACTTAGAGCACCATTAGACTCTGCTGATCGCGAGGTTCTGTGGCAGTGTCTGTCATTAAAAGGTGTTCCGGAGAAGTACATTAGTCGTAAAAAAGCTCTTTACTCGAACACCACTGGCCGAGTCAGAGCTTATAGAAAACTGTAATCGGAATTCTTCACTTCATGTGGCACTCGCCAAGGTTGTAAACTTTCATCATTTTTATTCAAATTTGTCATGGACACGCTTTTAGAGGAAATCTTTTCAGGGGTGAACGTTCTACCAGGAGACTCACTTTTCAACTTAGAATATGCCTATGACATAGTTTTATTCGGTGAAGACGCTGAGAAAATGCAGTTTTCTGAACACCTTAAGCAACAATGCAAGCATGTTCGGGATGCGATTCTCCTCCTCGAAATGCGAAATGTCATTTTAGGATTTGCTTGTGTCGGCACCCTTACTAGTGACAGCGAATTTAGTAGTTCAGCATGTTGATCGCCTCACTTATCTTGGGAGCCTCATGAGTGCTGATGGTCTGGTATTTGACAAAATCTCAGCACTGATACAGAATAGTCGACTGGCTTTTGCAACCTCACTTATGGCGTGGGTGAGATATCCGTCTGCAAAACCAAAGGACGAGTGTACTGTGCATCAGTTTGCTCCGTCCTAGGTTATAGCTGTGTTCTCTCAAATTCTAATCTTTTGAATTCCTCATGACCGGCCTTTTTCTCCTTTCTTTTTAATTTATTTTGCTAGATTATACTGCTTGTCTAAGAGCTTCAAACCCTAATCTTTCCGCTTACTGTCCATGCTTCTGTTATCATAGGATTTGAATTAACAGTTGCCTCTGTGCTAATGTTGTATGGTAACTTGCATTGATGCACTTACGTATGGAGTTCTACGTTACTGTTGACTGGTTGACTGATATATAAACTAGATGACCTTGGTAATTTATTGTTCGTCATTATTTTAAGTTACGGAAAACCTAATATTTTTGGTTTCAGCTACAGAGTCTATGATGGGGACAGAAACCTACCATCTAAAACTGACAAACAGATTAGTCGTTCAGTTTTGAAACGTTTTCGCATATTAGTACGACTCTTGATAGATAAAATTTCGTAACTCTAGGACTAAGTATTTATATGAGTTTACAAAACAAAAAAATTAATCAATCAATTTGTAAATGATGATACGCTAGTTTCGGTTCATTTTTCAATCAGTCAATAGCAACGTAGAACTTCGTATGTACGTACGTCAGTTTATGTTGCCATACCACATTAGCTCAGAGATGTAATTGTCAATTCAAATCCAATAGTAGTAGATGTAGTAAAGGTAGTAGCAGTAGTCGGAGAGGTTAGGATTAGAAGATATTATTCAAGAAGTAGGATCTTGTGAAAAAGACTTAGAAAGATAAAGATGAAGTGATGAAGATCTGAAAAGTTTAGGATTTGAGAGAACACAAAGAATGAATGCACCTGCGCAATTGCAAACAATTTAGAGCCATGTCACTCAGGGTCTCTAACCATCGATTATTATCATCTCGCGGACCCCAACCAGGTAGTCGACACCTACCGACATGGCTAAGTCCACTCTTCAATGACTTCATGAATTTCTGACATGTTTTGGTCTCTCCGCCCATAGCTTTCTTCCAACCTATTCCTACACTACAAAACAAAGCTCGACGAGGCAGTCGGTGGTTGGGCATACGCAGCACATGTCCCAACCACCTCAACTGATGAAGTCTCAATGCTTCATCTATCGACCTGCCATCCTCACCTAGTACTCGTTTCATAACTACAGCATTGCTTATACGGTTGTCCCAGGATACACGAGCAATGCTTCGAAGACACCTATGATCGAAAACCAGTAACTTACAAAAATCTTCTACTCTCAACTGGCCATGTTTCACAGCCATAAAGTAAGACGGAGCGAACTGCTGCGCAGTACACCCGTCCTTTAGTCAGCAAACGGATATCTCGCCTAGGCCATAAGTGACTCAGGTTGGCAAAAGCCAATCGATCCATCTGTATCCGTGCTGAGATTTGGTCAGTCACCAGACCATCGGCACTGATGAGACTCCCATGATAAGTGAAGCGGTCTACACGTTCGACTACTTCACTCCCTATCACTAGTTCAGGTGCCGATGAAACCCAATCTTGAAGCAACATTTTGCATTTCGATGGGGAAAACCGCATCCCGAACATGCTCGCATTGTTGCTTATGGTGGTCAGAAGACTCTACATTTTGTCAGCTTCTTCACCAAGTAGGACAATGTCATCGGCATATTCTAAGTCGATAAGCGAGCTCCCTGGTAATAGGTCTACTCCTGAAAATTCAGACGAGGATAAGGTTATTTCTAAGAGAATGTTTATGACAAAATTGAACAAGAATGGAGAAAGTGAACAGCCCTGACGGACACCACTCGAAGTAGAGAATTCCGATGACAGGTCACCATAGGCTCTCACTCGACCAGTAGTGTTCGAGTAGAGAGCTTGTATAAGGTTAATGTACTTCTTTGGTACACCTTTCAATGACAGACACCGCCACAGAACCTCACGATCCAGAGAGTCAAATGCCGCCCTAAGGTCCATGAAAACAACTATTGTATGACACCTAAATGAGTGTCTGTGTTCCAGGACCTGTGTGTGAAGATGTGATCTATACAACCACGTCCAGGTCGAAAACCAGACTGGTTTTCTCTAGTCTGCTCTTCTCGAGCTTTCGTTAAGCATCGAAGTTCTATTGAGGCCAATATTCTAGATACTATATTGGTTAGACTTATTCCCCTGTGGTTGTCACAAGAAGACTTTTGTCCTTTCTTACAAATTGGGACAATCAGTGATTGAGACCAGTCGGATGGGATTGTGTCCAGTTCCCAGATTCTACCTAAGATCTCAGTCAATCTAGCTGATCAAACTGGACCACCATCCTTAAACATCTCAGGAATAAGCCTATCAGGACCTGCAGCTCGCCCTCGCTTGCGCGACACAAAAACTAACACAATGTAGTTATAAAGTTCTTTACAATCGAAATTATGAGTATGATGTTCACATACGTGATCACCTCTTATTTTATTAGGTTAATACTTTCAAATCTTTGTACCTAAAAATCTCCAGACAAACTATTTGTAGTCTTTGTTAGGACAGTCAGTATCTAATATCGCTCAACAAAGTTGCCCCCTTACTTGGATGAGTCATGTGCATGTAACTTGAGCTAGAGAAAGCGTTTGTTAAATAGTTCGACGGATTAAGGCTAGGTTACTAAACTGTGATGCAGCATTACCGATTTCTCGAATTTAATTTGTCAATCTTCTATTATGTCCCTTCGGAGCAAACTTTTTCACATTTACATGTGTTGACAACAATCTAAACATTAGACAAAATATCACCTAATGTATCATATCCTTTAATTAACAAATAAGTTATTAATGATCGACCAAATAAAATTGATGAGTCTACATTATTAAGTAGTTGTACATATGATCGTGATATTATTTGAGAAATTTATGCTTCATTGTCTAACTTAATTCAGTATGATAATTATGTGATGTGTACTGACCATCTGTAGATAATCCAGTTTATGATATCAAAGACTACCGACTAGAAGTTCGCGTCTGTTTGCTGAATTTAAGGCGGCTTGACAAAGATATATATACGACAGAAGAAAATGAAGAAGCTGATGAATTAGCAAAGCAGAGGATGGAGTCAACTTGATTCTTTGGACGTAAGTTATTCAAAGAGAGAATTAGAATTTACATCTTTAATCATTAGAAGCTGCTGATAAACCTAAAATACGTAGATAATAAGTTTTTTCATCTCTACAATACTTATATGATCTAACATATATAAGTGGCCACAATCTCCACTTTTTGTCATAGCAGTCGAGAAGAGTATGCGATAACTCAAACTTCATCAGCACAATTACAGAGTGAGACAGAAAGTTCTACAAATGATATGACTAATCACGACACGGACTTAATAAACGATCTGTCAAATGTCACATGCATTACACTTAAGTGAAAAATAAAAATATGATCTTAGTCAATGACGATCACCTTACCGCGCTAAATAGCAAGTGCCATAAATTAACGATGATTAGAAATATGCATCAAGAAACATCAATCTCGAATCATGGCTACAGACGCTAGTTTTTGATAAAAATGAAGATGTGTTTGTTCCTTTATTTTTATCTGATTTATTGGATGATGTCGAATGGTTGAAACCACTCGCAGAATAATTTCTTGTTTACAGTTTCTTACGTAAGCAAGGAATGTTATTTTCACCACATACTAGTTTTGTTGTACCTACTTAAAACCTAGGTTCCATTAAGTGATTGACAGTTTTTAAGGGGAAACAATTTTTGACCACTGATTATTATTCGCACAGATGATGTGGAACTAAAACAACCAATTACAAGTACAGATTAAATCTGACTATATGCAACGTCATTGAACATTTTAAAATAAGAGGATATTCATAATAATTACAAATTCGGATTGTCTCGAAACCCAAAAATGTGTTCTATAGACAAAGTTTAGCTACTTTAGAAAATATATTAAATTCTCTTTATAGATCGAAAGTATGAGGCTACTTGTACATTCTTCAGGGAAGTTACTTATTTAATGTCGTAAATAGAATTAAAAGCTCTCAACCACAAAAAGCAAAGAAGTTTGTTTAGTTAAATCGATGAAAGAATATTCCTCCGTAACAACGGTTCAGTTACACACTAATGATCAGTTCCACTATAAAAAAAATTAGCTGACGTTGAACTTACGAACTAGTAAAGAGATAAAAGTAAACTCCATAATACTGGTTTTCAAAGATCAGTGTTACTAACCTCAAGTATTTGTGAACAAATATTATTATACCGGGGCAAGGTAATTTTCCTATTAAGGTAATATCGAATAAGTTTTATGCAATGGACTACAAAGAAATTAGACTCACTGTGGAAATTTATTTAAATAGGTACTGATCGTATCATTGATTTAAGCAGAGAATATTTCATAAATTTTGAGCCGAAATAAGATGCGTAGAATAGTAAACAAAGACCACACTATATATTTAATCTTTTTGTTATTTCAATATTGTAGGAACATGGATCAACTTCATAGTGAAGGTTCTAACCTTCTCAAAGAACTACTTATTAAGGAAATTTCCCAAGCGTTTACATGTTTATTTGTACTCTAGGACTTCAAATATATCTTAAAAGAATACAATTTATTTAACATAAAACTGGATTTTAATACCTTATCTTTATATTTTTACATTCTAATGCTAAGAGCCTTGTACGGTGACGTCGGAGCGCCATATAGTTGGAAACTACCTTGTGTCAACATGTGGTGTTACAAGTTTCATGGTTTCTAGGTTTGAAATGAAGTCACGTTCATTGAACGTGTCTAATAGAGGGAACTTCCATGCATCTACGTGTCAAAAGTACTCTCATCAGCTAGGTAACAAAAGAGCTGAACGAGTTCAACTTCTGAAGTCTAATTATTAGTTGATGTTCATTACAGTATTAGAATAAATAGATTTCACCAACTTTGTTATAACTTCGCGCAATGCTTTAAATAAACTGTATTTTCTTAGTAAAAGCAATTTTAGCCTCCAGTTCGAAATTATAAAACATCCATAACTAACGGTTAAAAGCTGTGTACGCATGTAAACTCTGAAGTTTATTCACTTAGGACTTGATTTTCCACCTTCATGATACGTTACAAAATGTGATGATTGAAACCACTGCATTGTAATTCGAAAATGCAGAACTTCTTGCTATATTTAGTGTTGGGAAGTATTGTATACAAAAGTGATATTAAGGAAGCCTGTTATCATAGTTCATTGATAGTTTTCCCTCTTAAATTACCTACTAATATAGATGATGGACTCAGACCCTTACGTGCAAGAGGGAAGATAGCGGAAAAAGCTGGTATAATAACTTATCTCTAATTGTTTACATAAACGTTTTTCTCGAATTAACATACGGGTTGACAAACCAACCTGGTAGTAACTACTAGCAGACAACAAAAATTACGCATCTACAACCAAAACCGAATTATTGTTAAGGTTGATATCACACACTGTGAATCTTCAGAAACACACTTGGAGATCGATTCTCGTAAATTCTAAAGGCGATAAAGCATTGATAGCGAACACTATGGCAGGCCCTTCCGATTTTCGGATCTCACATAACCTTCAGTACATTTCCAACTATTTCGTCTATACTTCATTGTATGGTCATGCGTAACGTACAACTTTGCATAAGAGCACTGAGCCAAATATCGAAATCACGTTAACATAGCTGTCTAAAACTGTTAGGATAAATACGTGATATAACTAAGAGGAATTGCGTTGCATAAGCAAAGAAACGTCCTTGGAATAGCATGTGTCGCGACCTTTTTAGTTTGTACCGTATGACTCAACTGCAAGTTGCGTTATAAGTGTTTACAGGACCAAAAGGTATATGCTATAATTGTACTAAACCCAGACTTATACATGGGGTGTACGAAGTCACTAACTACAAATCTGAGTGGCATGTGTACTGCCTGACTTAGCTTGCTGGATTGTGATGCACGTTAATATGTCAGGCGACACCGCAACCGCTTCTGCTGTCCTACTCTGATTCTGTTGATCGCGATAAAAGATCTCACTCATGGTGCTATTGGCTGCATTATATTGCATCTCCATTTTCTCAGATATATATATATATATATATATATATATATACACATATATATATAGACCTATAAGGTTTCGAAAACACGCGGAGTACTATAATATTTAAATAACATACTGTTCTCATCTCCCTAAATAACTACTTACAACTACCATAAAACATGACAATTTCGGAATGCAAAAGACATAAACAACCCATACGTAGTCTTGATACTTCGTGTTCACAATACTGGTAGGACTGTTACCAGGTTTCATCAAAATCCCTTCAAAATCTAATTCAGAAGACAAGCCTTTCTAAGAAAATATATTACTTATCAGATCAAAATGATCCTTTACCGGATGACAGAAAAGCAGTTGCGCCGGCGGCGAGTAACATTGACACAGAGTAATTCCTGATATTATTAGTTAAGGATATGGCAAAACTGAAACCGTATATTTTTACAAGAAAATTATTTTAAAAACATTGCCTTGTGGAACTTCAATTATAAGGCATCAAACAAACCTCACATTTCAAACGGCAGTTAGCAGATGTAGGAGCTAACGAAACACCAAACAGATAAGTCAGTCAGTCGGTTACAACGTGGAACTTTGTACGTACGTACATAAGTTTAAATTACCATACCACATTAGCACAGAGACGCGATTGTCAGTTCAGAAAAGAAGTATTAGCGGGTTCGAAGTGGAATTCAGTGAAATAAATTTAGGAAAACAAAGATAGAGGTGATGAAGAATTCAGATAAGGATTTCAGAGAACACAAGGAAGTCTACATCTACTAGCGTGACTCAGTCCAGTTGTCAGTGACCATTTGTTTGTGCCATATTTGCGTCTGGCCGCCCCTAGCTTTCTTCTAACCTACTTGTACACCACAAAACGCTCGTCGAGGCAGTCGATGGTCAAGCATACGTAACATGTCCCAACCATATCAACTGATGAAGTTTCAATACTTCATCTATTGATTCGCCATCCGTTTCCTAACAATAGCATTGCTTACTCGATAGTCCCAAGATAGACTAGCGATGCTTCGAAGACACCTATGATCGGAAACCAGTAACCTTCGAATATCTTATACTCTCACTGTCCATGTTTCACAGTCATAATTTAGGACGGAGCGAACTGCTGCTCATTAAACCCGTACTTTTGTTTGTAGACGGATATCTTGCTTGCGCCATAAGTGAGGCATGTTTCAAAGGACAGTTGACCTTTCTGTAACTGTACCGAAATTTCTTCGGGCACTAGGCCACCAGCATTGATGAGAATCCCGAGAGCCGAACCAGAGAGTGAACCTTTATATCCCGAACCATGAGACCTTTTGTCAGGTCAACGTCTTTGATGTTTACTTAGACCAATCTTTGTCAAACAACAGAATAATCGGTACCAAATCACAAAGCTTAACGTAAATTGGCTGCTGATACTAATCAAATAACGGACAATCTAATCCGTCAACAAATTACGTATACCGGCGGTTATTCTTTAGCTGCTTACGACCGAAAAACTAATGACAAGAGCGAGGATAAGAGAGATAAGGCTCATTTAAAACGAACTGTTCTACAGTGCCGCCAAACCCGGAAACAAGGAGGGTATAAAACAGATGGATTAAGATGCTAACAAGCACTAGTTTCAGAAAAAGTGAAATAAAACACAATCCATTCAAGTATAATCTACACCGGAATTTCCGGCTGTTAATATCTGGACTGACAGCATTTACTGTGTAAGATGTTCAACCAAAAAACAGAAAATGACCCCTAACGAATGAACGTTGCATAAATTCATTCGAATCCCCAACTGGTAAGAACCGAGTTTAATCACAGGTCTTTAGGTAAGGCAAATTAATTGAACGAATCTTGTGACACTTTTAAAGGATACACTTGATTTGAGAAATGATGGAGAACAGCAGAAAGTAGCAGTAGGACTAGAAGAAATAGGCAATTATTATAAAATATTGAGAAAGTCGTAGATTCGTAGTCAGCAACCTTTTTAGTTCGTTCACGGACACTAAGCAGAAATAACTAAAGTATATGCTTACACATCCTCTCTATTTTTCTTTGACAACTTCTTGTCTTTGCCAGCTTCATTATTGACTTCCTTGGTAATCGCTTCGGTCCGACGGATAGCAATTCTAAAGATAACATTCAACAGAAAACTAGTTACCGCTCCATCAGGGGTGTTTTTGAATTTTTGTAGGCAATAGATATCAGAAAAGTTGATGCCAGAGAAATGATTACATACAAAAATGAGTTTGCAACCAGAGGCATTTTGTGTACTCCCCAAAATAACCCTAGTCAATAAATATTAATTTGTCGAAGACGTACAGATAGGAATCGAAGATATCATAATTGCATTGACGTAAACTAGCTTTTCAGAGCTCTTTGATGCCGCTTGACTGTATTCTTCGAGAAGTCTTTCATCCTCCTTCGTAATCTTCACAACCATCGTGTAACGTCTACTTTCAATTAGTCAGTAGTCACGTATGTACTTTTGCACAATTAAAACAATAAACCATCATAGTACAATGCCGTAATGTCACCGTCTTTAATAATCATAGTCGAAGTATCAGCTACGCTTTTTACTTTTCACTTGTGTAGCACCGCATTGGTTTATCTTTCCTCTGGAGAAAGGCAATCGGCCTTTAGACGCGGTCGCACTTTTTAAAATCTGAAACACTTCTTGATTGATATCGGTCACTCTGAATTTGGAATGCTAGACGTTATTAATGTGATTGCACGTTGGTTTGGTGCTCAGGTTTTCGGATATATACATGGTCTGTTGATTATCGAAAACCACTAGTCTTAGCAACACGCTTTACTGTAATTGAAGGAGATAATAGACAGCAAAGGAAGTTTCTAACTAGCATCACCCCACTCATTTTCATGGTGCCTTCTGCACTTCAGTGAACAAGGTTGTTTATCGGAAATCACTTGTTAGCTTCACTGATAACAATTTATCTCCAGACAATAATGTGTTACATGGGTCGCGTTAGTTTACGGACAAGATCAAAGTGTTAGAAATGATAACATATTTACTGCACTTAATCGTTAAGCTCGATGAATATTTTTCAAGATAGACTTGCTTTTTTATTGAGGGCTAATATTTTCCACTAACTAAGTCACGGGTGGACTCCGCTTCAACTTAATTGCTAAGGTGGGTTTGTGATAGGATTTCTTGGTAGGAAGTGAGACCGATTCAGGGCTACAAACATGAGTCATAGATGTAGTGGACATGCAAAACAACACCAGATCATTGACTAGTTAAATTGGTAGATCGATCGTAAGGAGCCTTTAGCAAACATATTATTCTTCTACTGAGACATGAATGGATTGATGCTATCGCTTCACCATGAATGTTGATCGGACACACCACCCCCTCTCTTTCTGTGATGTTAGGATCTCCTATGTTTGTAGTATGTCATAATTAACGTTTCAGTCTAAGCAATATCTTCTGCACACCCTGTTGGAGTGCAATGCATCTACTAGTTCCATGTTACAAACAAACCATACAACTTTAGTTTCCGTACATTGGACTGTAATATTCATGTACCATATCACACTGATATTAAGTTGACTTATGTTATCAATTGGACTAATTCAGTAACAGCGTATAAATAGCCAAACAATGTTCCGCATCCGCTTACATCAGGATCTGCGACTGTGAGTTTTGAATACAGGTTAGCTAAGCTATTACTACCACTATTCAGACAACTGACTCCATTCATTTAATGAAAGTTGAAAAGGATGATCAGTGTAAACGTAGAATACAAAACTATTGATTTGATGTTCGTAGTGCATAGAAGATTGCCCTACTTGATAGATCTAAGGAAGTACCAATGGTGTAGTCATTTCTTTTGACATTCAGATAACTTTGTCTTCGCACGCTGCTGGCAAACTTGAAGAGACTGAAATTTAAATGCATTTCCTATCAGCTGTGAAATATAAATATTACAGTTAACCTATGACACTTTGGACGCTGGAAATTCTTTGCTTCTTTCCGAACTACCATCACAGAAAAGACATTTTATCCCAGGTTAATTAAAGTGTATCTTCAGGAGATTCGCAAACAGAAACGACATCAACGACAAATCGCCGACAGATTCCTTGATTTTTGCGCACTGGTTATTGGATACAAATTAAACGAAGTTTTCAAAGAGTCATATTTGTCCATCATCATAAAACTGTGAAGATTGTTCATTTTTATTGAAATCATAAATCGATCAATGTTCAATCACCATCAGTAACCTGGAAGCACAAGTCGGACGTTTCTGATCAGTGTGAGACTCGTCCTACCCTGTTACTACACGACCATATAGCCTTTGTAATGCAAATAAGAACGATGTTCCACTTACTGTTCAGCACGCGGCCTAGTGGATGCGTACTGCAAACGAGTCCCATACATCAACGAAATAGCAGCGCAGCACTTCCAGGTCTCTAGTGGTTGTCTAACATTGACCCATTCATGATATCAAGGAAAGTTATATATAATCAGGGAAAAAATCGAGTTTATTGATTCATACGAAATGTTTATCACTTCCATATCATGTATACACCCACATGATCACGCCAGAAGTGGTGAAAGTTTTCATGAATAATCTGTTCACACAGGCGCCAATACTATCTAATGTTACATTAACTTTTACTGAAACTTAGTTACTGATTTTCTCGTCTGTGTTAACCTATGAAATTGTACAGTAATACCGTTACGTTTTACAAATATATGTTCTAAATATTATCGTAATGATAGCAGTATGTAATGCAAAATCTTATTCCTCACTGTAAGCATGCAACCGGGTTTCATCAATTGTAGAATATTAAGCGGAGTACGTTAGTCTACAGACAAGGTAGTAATGAGAGTACGTCAATCTAAAATATTTCTAAGATGTGTCTGGAAAATGGAGCCTACGCGTTGTAAACTGGACTTATGATTCCAATCACTATCATATCTTATTATGCTCAGAAAAACATGGTATAAACTGCGGGTTTATATTCCTGTTTCATGATTTTAGCAAAACTACAAGACTAAGAAGAGTATACATACTGTAGTGTAGAAGTAAATAAATATACTTGTAATAATTATTTTACTCCGTTTTCCACAGTAAACTGCTTTACGAAATAGCCTTTTATTTTCCAGCAGTTCTCGACAGTGTCTACTAGTTAATGGTCAGTAACTGGCAAGGTGTCATCTGAATAGAAATTTGAAAAAGTCGTCAATTTCAATTCACTATGTTCTTGATGCTTATTTCCCTGCAACTTTCTTTCGAATGAGTCGATAGATGTTATCAGTAGAATTTTAGGATGACGAGTTCTATTCTTTGAAGATCCGAAAGTACAGCTGGCGAGCAATTTGTTCTGGACTTAACGACTTTTTAAAAAATTCTTTCGTTAGTTCGCTATTTTCAATAACAGTTGCACATTTATTAAAAAGTTATTTGAAAAATTTGATTAATGGTCCTACTATATGACAAATGAAAAGAAGAACAACTACTGTTTTCAAAGCTAAACTAGTTTTAACGGAAAAGCAACTGGAGTGTCTACTGTATATCGACTACAGAGTTCCAAAACCTTTGATTACTGTCACACGATAGTGTTCAAATGTTTTTAGGTTCAGACCGCCAATTAGTCCTCGGTTACCATACATCTGGACAACATGTAGCTCACTTATATTCGCAGTCTATATATAAACATCATGATGACCAAAAAATATCTTCACGCACTTGACAAACTAACATCAATACGATTGATTACATCCTGCTACATCGTAAAGAGCCGTAAGCAAACAACCTAACTGGTAAAGCCAGGTAAGTATTTCTATAATTGAAGAACATCTTGGTCTCAAAGAATCTCGGAACCTACAATGGAGTCACGATTTTCAACACGAACATCAGGACATTTTCCCTGTATGGAGCGCAAACTTGACAAATCAAGAACGGTCAATCTACAAACTGATATATGGTCACCTGAAGTCCGTATGGTGAAAATGTTATATGTACTTTTACTTATCTGTCTATAGTATGTCTGTGGTTGTCTAAAAGTAAAGTAACTAAATAGTGTCCAAACAGTGTTTGTGTATTTTTCGACAGCCGACAAGCCGCTCGATATACTTAACAGAACGTGTTCATGTTGACCTAATACTGTTTCTTCTAACCAATACGATCGTCAAATAAAAATATATCAAGTTGCTCACCACTTTATCTTTCTCACTATCCTTACATCAGTGAAATATGGAGGGATAAATTTTCAATTGTACAATTAAGTTTAAACAATATATCTCACGACTGTCCTTTCTAGAATCACACACAATGTCTCGCAGTATGTTATGTAGTCACATTGTTCGATAACCGTATTGTCCATAACATTTTAGTGGTGAACGAGTCGAGATTGACTATAATAACCACTAAATTTTCCGTACTATCCCGTAACATAAATCAGTAATAAATCCATGTCGGACTTTTTATTGAAGGAGAAAGTAGGCATAACATAAAAAAGCAGTACGTTATGGAGAATGGTAGAGACGCAAAAAGTACTTTGAGCGCAAGAAGTGTTTTGCTACAGTTAAACAGAACGAGTACAGTAGTAAGTGTTTATTTTTCACCAGTCGCGTTTTCTTTATAAAAGGGTTCCACTACGGAAGCTCCTCCATAGAAATGGTCTACACTTTCGATACATAGCGGCGGCGTTGAAGGGGGGCTGTTCGGCCAACATTAGATTGTAGTGCGGAAGGGTTGACGAACAGGAAGCGACCAATGAAGCTCATGTTGTCACCGATAGTCTTCTAAGTTGAACTGTACCAGTAGTAATCTGCCAGGTTTGTTGCTCAAGTTGACGTGCCAAGATTTTCTGTCGGATTGGCATGCCACACCAGAGTGGCTCGTATCCAGAGTCTGAAGATTGCGTTCGTAGAAGTTCGGATCATATAAAGCTGCAGACGTAGGACGGAACCAGATTGAACGAAGGAGCCAGAAACGACCATTGCGAAACCATTCGGATTCCAGATATATTCGTAACCAGAACATCTACTGAGTGCATTGACAAGAGAGTGGGTGATCGGGCCAGATTTCGCCAAAGTTGACTGAAGTCGACGGTACTAACAGGGCTATGGTCGAAGGTATAGGCTCGAGAAAAAAAAATCAAAGAAAAAGAGAAATGTGTAGCATGCATATAGTATGGTGGTAAAATCCTATGCCGCACCCGTGGTTGATTGGTAGTTATTCGAGAAAGCGTACGCGTACGCGGCAACCGGAACGCGAGACAGTAGTTTCGTGCGTACCTCGTGAGCCTGCATTCTCATCCGCAGTCAAGTGCGGCGTGGTCTGCTGATCTGGGACGTGAGACCGGAATCTCATCCGTAGATAATACAGATGACGCGTGCTTCTGACTGGGACGTGCGAATGAGGTCTCTCATGCATATAGCGCAGGATCAGAAGGAGTAATAAGAATCCCGCTAGTGAGTTTGACGAGTCCAGCATTTAATCTCGATTTACCAGGTTGG